GTCCATGAAGTATAGATATTCTCTGTTACAGACCTTTGGCAATAGTTTTTTTAATAATATATTCTATTTTAATTCTTTAAGCTATGAAAATGTTCAGCTTGATACTCTGTTCAATTCTTCTAAAAGGTCCACTTCAAGGAGAGGACTCCTCTCTCTTAGAATTCTTAGGAATCAAGCATGCTATAACTTGACATTTGAGATATTGCATAATATTTTTCTCTACCTAACAGGTTTTATGGAGATATGAAGGCACCACACCAAAAACCTTAGGATCCAACACTCGGCTCTACAAGTGGATCCCTCAGAACGACCTCCTTGGTAAAACTCAGTAGAATAAAAAGTAAAAACATAGCACTCGATGAATATAATAGTCGAATTAGAAACAAATGTGTTATCTCAAACTCATACACTAAACTTTGTTCATAGTTTAGTATGAATAACTTACAAAGTTGTCATGTTAGGGTACACAGCCATTCTCCCTGGGTAGAGAGGCATTTCGTGATTGGCCTTCCATCTTTTATTTTAGCTTTCCTTACTTTCCAATGGCAGATGGATTTCAAATGTCATTGAGAATGACCTCTTCTCTTGTACTGCATGGGGCTCTGCACTTTTCACAGTGAAAATACACAAATGTTATTGTGATGCACTAGCACATTATTCAATGAAGTGTGGCCTGTATGTCTATTGACACCAGTACTGCCGCCATCCCAATCCAGCATGCCCTCCATATCACATGCCATGACCTCACTAGGTTTTCATATGGACATGCTACACATGTCTCCATAGTTTCTTCAATTAAACATGATAGATCTTTTATAAAAATGTTTTTATAAAATCATTTGGGTTTGTTCTCCTTTGTCAATCATCTTTGCATTTTTCAAGTCTCAAGCCACACAAAATGTGTTCAGAGTCTTCCCTTGTCTCTCCAGTGAACTTTGGTTCTTGTTGCTCTGAGGTTTAAAATTCAATGGAGCTTCATGACTATGTAGAGAGCACTCACATTGAACACACTGTATTGTACCTTTCTCATTTCATTCCTAAAACATACCTGATCACTTTGTGGAATTTCCCCAAATGCAGGTCATCCCAAAACCAAGGCCTTCATCACTCATGGTGGAACCAATGGTGTCTACGAGGCCATCTACCACGGAGTCCCAATGGTGGGCATTCCTTTGTTTGCGGATCAACCTGATAACGTTGCTCGGATGAAGGCCAAGGGAGCAGCTGTTAGACTGGACTTTACCAGGTTTTCAAGTGAAGATCTCCTCAATGCTTTGAAGACAGTCATTTACAACCCTTCGTGAGTATAACTACCTTTCCATTAGATCCTATTTAGAGAAGGATTCTTCTCATCAGTGACAATGCATCTTACCCCTTCAAGGGAGCTTATTAATAATTTAATTGAGATTCTCTTGATCTGTGTTTTTGTTTTGTATTGTTCTGGGGCATGAACTCAGGTCATAGTTGCTATCCCTGAACTTCTCACCTAAGGCTAGCCCTCCACCACTTTGAGCCACTTATGGTTTTCTAGTTGCTAATTGAGATAAGAGTCTCAGAGACTTTCCTTCCCAGACTGGCTTTGAATGGTGAACCTCAGATCTCAGCCTCCTGAATAGCTAGAATTCCAGGCATGAGCCACCAGTGCTCAGCTTTCTAGCACGTTTTTATATTCAACTACAAAGTAATTTCAGAGTTGTACTTGATCTCACAGATTAATTAGGTCAGCAATTATTGAAATCATTTCTACATATACAAATAAGGACAAATAAGAAATGGTTTAATCAAATAACTAAAATGTCTCTTTTTTGCATTTCCTGAGGCTTGAACTCTGGACCTGTGCACTGACTTTGAGCTTTTTCACTTAAGGGTATTACTCTACCACTTGAGCTACAGCTCCACTTCTGGCTTTTTTGGTAGCTACTTGGAGAAAGAGTCTCAGGGACTTTCATGACTGTGCTAGCTTTGAGACATCTTCAGATCTCAGCCTCCTGAGCAGCACGAAAACCTGTCTTCAATCAAATATTCATTTGCCAGAAAACTCATTTTATTGTCATTGTGTTCACAGATGTAATTAATTACCTATAATGCAGATATCATAAAATAGCATGTTTAATTTGGAAAATTCAAATATACACCGTATATTTTGCACATATATAATATTATATATATTCTATCTTCATAATCATGAAAATTACTTGGCTTTCCAGAGTTGTCAACAGACAACAGTACACTTATGAGACATGTGTAACTGCACAACAGAGCAAGAAGAGCCAATCATAGCATAGCACAAATGGAAAGGCTAGTTCAGCTAATTGAACTTTTTCATTTTGGTGGTACTAGGGTTTGAGCTCTGGTTTGTTAGGTAAATACCCTATTATTCAAGTCATGCTTCAAGTTCTAGGAAACTTTTATATTATTCACATAATGTTTTTCTAATAAACAATGTGATATGGCCTTGTATTTCCCATGTTTAGAGTTGCTATGTTAATAGGATAACTAAAAGCTCCCTGATGGTTGACCTTAAAGAAACTCCCCCCGTAATAAGATAAAAGCAAGCTCCATGACATAGAGGGGAAGAATTGTAAGGAAAAAGAAAGAGAAAATTAAACATCAAAAAGAAAACCATTGACTACATGGTATGGGAAGACATGAAGTGACAGGAAAATATTGAGAGTTTCTATGGCTTTAAAGTTAACCAGTTCAAGAAGCAAAATAGATGCCTTTGAATATGAGATACTATACTTTGACCAAAGTAATATTATTATGTGAGCCTTTCTGTAAAAATTGCAGTTTGAGACTAAAAATAAAAACAAAAGGCAGAAGGGAGGAATGAGAGATCAGCAGACATTTCACCTACTAGGGTGAAATCTTTAAAAACTTCTCAAATAAATATTACTCATTTAAGAGTATCCATTTCAAATGCAAATACTGTGTGTGGGCAAATGAAAATGAAACACTAAGGTAGTATATCCATTTGGTTTAACTTGGGTTATTTCTATGGCAGTTTACTAAACTTTGTTAGGATTAATATAGTCAGCAACATTAAATCCCTTTAAGATAGGTATCTCTGTGTTTTTCTTTTAGCTATAAAGAGAATGCAATGAGGTTGTCAAGAATTCAACATGATCAGCCAGTGAAGCCTCTGGATCGAGCTGTCTTCTGGGTGGAGTTTGTCATGCGCCACAAAGGAGCCAAACACCTTCGCCCAGCTCTCCATGACCTCAACTGGTTCCAGTACCACTCTCTGGATGTGATTGGCTTCCTGCTGGCCTGTGTGGCAGCTCTCATCTTCATCTTCACAAGATGTTGCCTTTTTTGTTTCCAGAAGTTTCCTAAAAGTGGAAAAAAGAAAAGAGAGTAGTTGTATCCAAGTGGCAGCTGGTAGTTCTGTTAATTACTCCAGCAAGATGACTTTGTAATGGATTGGGATCTTTCCTAGTGTGGCAAGAAAAACTTTAACAAGTTACTTGCTCAAGTCAGATTTTGAAATTTCTAGCTGAATGTCAGGAGGGAACTCCTACAACATTTTCTGAGCTTACCTAAGTTTCCCAAGTTTTATGTGGACATAGACCATTAAAAGTCCCTTCATAATATAAATAGGTTTTGAAAATATTTAACCTCCTTTAACTTCATTTGGGAGTACCATGTATTTTTTTATGTATAAGAAAAGATGTAATGTAGTCAAGTTTGTACAGCAATATTTACCTTCTTAATTTGTGACCAATAATACATCACTGAGATGTTTATTTCCCTACAAAGTCATTCTCAATTTAATTAGAAATGAAATGATTTCTCCCTGTTCTTCACTATAAAATTAGAATAGTTTGGAAACTCTTTGCTTTGATGAACGCATTTCTTTTTGTCTTAGACATTTATAAATATTGAAGTGAAGGTTCTCATTTCAGCTTTTGAGAGTAGATGCACACTCAATTGTTCAATTGTTCCTCTCTCCAAATAAACTCATGCACATATAGGTGTAGGATTTGCAGTTTAGTGTACAGCTTCACTTAGTTCCATCACAGCTATGTTATAAGGTTTAGACAGTTTATTGTAGACCTTTGTTTTCACTCAGAGCCTTGGCACTGTCCTGAGCACTTTTGCTCATGGCTAGCGCTCTACCACTGCCACAGTGCCATTTCCTATTTTGTTCTGGTTAACTGGAGAAAAGAATCTCATGGACTCTCTTGACAGGTTGGCTTTGAACCATGATTCTCCAATCTCAGCCTCCTGATTACCAGCTCCTGGCTGTGCCTGCAGAAGAATTTTTAAATAATGAGTATTCTAAATTTCCCACTTTTCAAATTCCAGTATGATATTTTCCTTTCTATTTTAGTCTTCACAGGAAAAAATAAATAAATCACTCAAATAACTTGAAGGAGCCATTTTCCTTAAATGCTAGAACACTATGTCCAAGTTACACAGGAGATTGAATTCCACAAGATTACTCTCCAAAGCCAGGAGAAAATCAATTTCCACAATAACCAGGAAAAAGTAGGGTTAGTGCCTTGGCTGAAGTGTTAGATTTCTAGCCCAAGAGGTAATAATTGTTGAGACATCAACTGTGATTGTCTCACGGGGCAATTATATGATATATGTGCACTTGAAAAGAAAAAGTGTTCTCTAACACATCCTTTTACAAATTTAGGAGGCAAATTGTGCAATTTACTGTTAGATACATCCAGCCTTAGCACAAACAGATTCTTTAGCACCATTCAGAATTTAGTTATACTCTCAAAATCCCACTGTTCTGGAAATCAAGGATTTGCTAAAATATAGAAACCTCCCAGGGACTGGGAAGGTGGCTCAGTGGTAGAGTGCTTGCCTTGCATGCATGACACCCTGGGTTCGATTCCTCAGCAACACCTAAGCAGAAAAGGCCAGGAGTGGTGCTGTGGCTCAAGTGGTAGAGTGCTAGCCTTGAGCTGAAGAGCTGAGGGACAGCGCCCAGGCCCAGAGTTCAGGCCCCACAACTGATCAAAAAAAAAAAGATTTCTTCTTTTCTGCAGCCAATTAAGCTGACCGGGTTCCTTTTCTCGTGGGGACATGGTGTGCACTGGTTGCAAACAGCAACCTCCTTGGTAGTGTATGCAGCCTGTTGCTTGTATGGGTTGCCCTAAGGACCTTGGAGACAGTTTTCCAGTGTATTTTCATGACTCTGACTTTATACTGTCCCCCTATCTAGGCTCAAGACAGGTATGCGGGGTGCCTTTGGGAAACCCCAGGGCACTGTGGCCAGGGTTCACATTGGCCAGGTAATCATGCACCAAGCTGCAGAATAAAGAATGTGTACTTGAGGCCTTACGCAGGGCCAAGTTCAAGTTCCCTGGTCGTCAGAAGATCCACATCTCCAAGAAGTGGGGCTTTACCAAGTTCAATGCGGATGAGTTTGAAGACATGGTAGCTGAGAAGCGCCTCATCCCTGATGGCTGTGGAGTCAAATACATCCCGAATAGTGGTCCTCTGGATAAGTGGCGAGCCCTGCACTCATGAAGGCCTCCATCCACTGAGCTATATCACCCCCACTTCGATCATGTTCCCCAATAAAACTTGCATTACGTCTAAAAAAAAAAAGAAACCTCCTGAGATAGCTTCTTTAGAGTATGTGATTTTATCAATTGAGTCTATAGATCAAAAGGTTTCTGAATTTTTATTTGATACTAGAAGTATCAAACAAAAGTATCAAATAGATTTCAAAGAATGCATTTTATCTTCAGAATGATATATGTCAATATAAATAAATATTCTTGATCAAAACACAACATGTAAATGTCTTGCCTACTTTATTCCAACTTTTTTCAGAAAGTCACATGATTTGTTTCAGATCAAATGTCTTCATGATCCTTCCTATTATGGTTTATTCTCCATTCAGGAAGACCCACTACATGTGTGAGCTCATGGCCAAAACTGATATCTGGCTCATTAGGACCTACTGGGATTTCCACTTCCCACAACTACTGTTACCAAAGTTTGAATTCATGGGAGGACTCCACTGAAAACCCGCCAAACCTCTGCCTGAGGTAGACCTGTTGTTGTTGGCTTGGTGCTCCTTCTCCTTCTCCCTCTCCCTCTCTCTTTCCTAACTCTTACTTTCCTTTCCCTCTCCCTCTCCTTTTTTCTGTTCTTCCTTGCTCAGGGGTCTGCATCAGCATAATAGACATGAGAGGGGAAAAAAGTATCCTATTGAATATGGACCACTGCAATTATCTAAGTTTCATGACTGTCAAGGAAAAGTGTAGGATAACTGGAATCTTTGGAGAATAGCGTCAGTTAAATTGAGTTCATTGTTGAAGTCACAAGGAAGAATAATTGATTCATTCAAAGAATGTTTACTAAGTGACCACAACATTCCAGAGGCAAATGCTGCCTATCACGAGAAAGGAAGTAGAAACAGATCCTGAACCCACACCTTAATTCTATTTGGATAGGGAAGCTAGAAAATAAAAATTGTCTGAAAATGTCATCATAAGGAATACAATGATGTTCAGTAAACACAAAGGAAATATGAACATAGGATTCCATCTCTACTACTGGCAATACACAAATACAACACAATACAACTCAATATACTACACTGCAATACAATAAAAATCTTGCATAAATGTTGCATTTTGTTTGTTCTTGGGCTTTGTTTAGAAAGATTTTTCCTATTTATTATTTGTTCTTGGGATTTTGCGTACTGGGAGGATTTCTATTGTCTCAATTTCATTGTGTGCTGTTTTTATAATTAAGTTTGTATTAATTCTTGATTAAATTTCATAAGAATGTCATAATTTTCCCAAGTGTTCTAGATTATATATGATCAATTTCAAAACTCTGTGTGTGTTGAGTGTGTGTGTGTTGGGTGTGTGTGTGTGTGTGTTGGGGATGTGTGTGTGTGTGTATGTGTGTGTATGTGTGTGTGTGTGTGTGGTGTCTGTCAGTACTGGAACTTGAACTCAGGATTACTTCATTCTTACTTGGCTTTTCCACTGTAAGGCTCCGTCTCTTTTATTGGAGACATACCTCTATTTACGTTGGCTGGTTAACCAAAAATTTTGTCATAATGTGTGTCATGACTGGCTTTGAACTTTGATACTCAGATCTCACTCTCTTGTGTAGTTAGGACTACAGGTGTATGCCCTTGTTTATGTCTTCCTGTGTGTGTGTGTGTGTGTGTGTGTGTGTGTGTGTGTGTGTTTAATAAAACTTACTGGTCTTCTCAATTACAATGCTGTCATTTATATATTATGTAATATATCATCTCCATTTTTATTTATGTGTTTTCTGTTTTCATTAATATAACTAAGGCTTATTAAATTGACATTTTCAAAGCATCAACTCTGTTTTAATAAATATTTAATAAATTTATAAATTATTTAATAAATTATTAAAACTCTGTTTTAATAATTCTAACCATTCTGTTTTTATCTCTATTTCATTTTTTTTTCCTGCTTTCTAAAATAGCTTTTCTACAACTAATTTTGTCTTTTGTTTGTACCTATTTACCTAAAAAAATTGAGAATCCTCAGTTGGTAATTTATTTCTTTGGGTCTGTTTTTAAGGTAGGCACTCAGATGTATAAAATTCTATTGAATATTGCTGTATCAGACAGATAAAAGTATTTGATGTTGATCATTTTATTTGGTGCCATGAATATTTTATATGTCATATTTGATTTCTTCATTGTTTTACTATTCTTCCTAATGTATATTGCTCGGTCCATATGTGTTTGTACAACCTTAGTTATTCTTCTGGTTAATTACCACTTTTATTCCTTGATGATTTGCTAAGATAAGAACTTTATTTTACCACATTATATATATATATATATATATATATATATATATTTAGCATTACATGTTAGCTCAATAAGTGATTGGCTTTGTAAAATGTTTTAGGTAATCAGCAAAACAAAAGTATATTCTGCTGTTGGAATATACTATTATGTCTATTAAGACTACTTGATCTCTAGTTTAGTTAACTCTGATCTTTGTTGGACTTTGAATGATTTTTCTATTAATGAGGGTAGAGCATGGAAATCAAATCCCTACCATTCTATCAGAACATAGTCTCCTCTGTAAGCGTAGTTGTATATATTTTAGGAAGTCAGTGTTCTCTTATGGGATGTATTTATCATTAGATATCCTTGATGGATTCTTTCTCCTGTATAGTAGTCTTACTGTCTTCTGAATGATTTGGACTTGCAACCTATTCCTCAAATATGAGCTACTCTTGATTCTTTTTGAGTACTATTTTCTTGGACTATCAGTATCAGTATATAATTTTCAGTTTATGTATGTCATGATATGTCATTCAGATTCTATTGTTTAGTTGGAAAATTAAGATCATTGACATCTAGGTTGATTACTAAAAGTGTACACTGGTACTGGTAATCTATTGCTCTTTTCTGGGGTTTTGTGAGTGATCTATACTCATGTCTTTCTTCCTTAATTTAAAAAAATATTCATTAGCATTGTAAGTAAAGTGCAATTACAAACTCACTCTAATTCTAACTGGAGGAACCTACACTAACAATTAATACAATTATAAACTAAGAGACTAAGTAGAATAATTTCTCAGGCCATCTACCCAAATCAAAGTATGAATTTTCTGTTTCTCTTCTTCCTGTCAAATACATGAACAATTATATGTACACTTACACAAATATACATAATAGAAGCTTATGTTTTATATTTTACATCTTCCAAATAAAATGCACTATTGAGTGAATTGAGATCCAGATATTTTAACAATTTCAAAATTGTTTCTCTGTAGTTGTTCTTTTGTGATGAAGAATATTCTATCCTCACAGGAAATGGGAAAGTTTGTCCAGAGCTCTGTAGACAGGGTGTGGTGGTGTTTTCTCTGCGCTGAATGGTCAGTAACATGATAGAAGAAAGAGCCAACACAATTGCATCAGCTCTTACACAGATTCCACAAAAGGTAAACTAAAGCTGCTGGTGGATATTTATGTAATGAATTTGTTAAACAGAAAAGGATTTGAGTGCCAAAACTTGCTATATGAAAAGGAATTGAATTTATACAACACAAATTAAATTATATCCTTCAGGAACTCTACTTAAAACACCTCAGACTGCCTTTGTCCTATTTGAGTAAGGAGAGTTGAAGAACCAACATAATATATGTATAGTGCAGGAAAGAATGCAAAAAAAAAAATCCTCTAAAACAGTAAACGGTCATTAGTAACTTATTATCCAATACATAGAAATTAGGTCAGTGAGCTCCTGTCGTTTCAACTTTTATAAACTACATTTTAGGTTCCTGTTTGATGTAGGAAAGTTCTAATTAAACAAGTTATGTTTTTCTGAAAAAGCAGTTACATTAATATTTGCATTACACATGGACCACAATATAACAATTCATATATACTTATGAGGATAGTTTATAAATTAGAAATCAGTTTATTATTTTTGACCATATGTATGAAAAAAATTTAGAAACCTCTCTCAAAAGAAGTGGTGCTGTGGCTCAAGTGGTGCAGCACTAGCCTTGAGCTCAGGGACAGCACCTAGGCCCTGAGTTCAAGCTGTACAACTGACCAGAAGAAGGAAGGAAGGAAGGAAGGAAGGAAGGAAGGAAGAAGGAAGGAAGGAAGGAAGGAAGGAAGGAAGGAAGGAAGGAAGGAAGGAAGGAAGGAAGGAAGGAAGGGAGGGAGGGAGGAAGGAAGGAAGGAAGGGAGGGAGGAAGGAAGGAAGGAAGGAAGGAAGGAAGGAAGGAAGGAAGGAAGGAAGGAAGGAAGGAAGGAAGGGAGGAAGGGAGGAAGGAAGGAAATAATGAAGGAAATAAGGAAGGAAGGAAATAAGGAAAGAAGAAGGAAGGAAGGAAGGAAATAAGGAAGGAAGGAAAGAAGGAAGGAAGGACAAGTGAACAAATACATCTTAGAAAAACCACTCTTAGTGGCCAATCCACAGGGCAAGACCACTCAACTTTCCAAACAAAAAAAAAAAGGAAGAAAAAAACTCTCTCAAACTTTGCAGATTTTAAAATCAACATTATCATCTAAGTATTAGCAAACAGTTGAACAAAATTTCCCAACGTCACAATGGGTTAAAGTGGCCATATTGTTATTAACCAATAAGTTCTTCTCTTTATTATTGTTCTCTTTAAGTAGTTCTACAAAGGAGTTAACAAAGC